CGAGTAGTCAGAAGAGAGGGGGAGACACAACCGGCTTAGAGGAGAGATACGAGATGTTGGTGTGTGCAAGTGATGGAGTTCATGCTTGCACCACAGGTTAGGCCATGATCCAGAGCCTAAGGACTCCACCATGATAAATCTGAAGTCCTTAGGCTCACTGGCCAATCCCTAGGCTTTGGAGAACTCTACTCTTTTCCTTGGATGGTTTTATCTCTGAGGAGGGTTTTCTGGCTAAAGTTTTTAATGAGGGAGATTCTTCAAGGTTCCAAGCTTATCCAAGGATCTCCTATGGTCAAGTTTGAGGGGGAGTGTAGAGATGAAGAAATAAACAAGATCAATAGTAATAAAGCAAAGTGCAGTGAAGTGCAGCAAAATGCAGTGAAGTGCAATAAAGTGTAGTGAAGTTTGGATAACAAGATAAGGCAAGAAAGAAGTTGGGGAGACTCAATATGGACTTTTAGAGCCTACATAAGTAAGGAAAGTCAAGTTTTATGGAGTACTCAGTTATGGTTTGATTTAGACAAGAAGAAGTCACATGTGTTGCTTGAGAGAAGCTGATGGACCTGTCATTATCAAACCAAAGAGACTGTGCCTCTCCCTTTTGTCACTCTCACTACCTCTGGTCATGCATCACTTGGTTCTATCCTCTTTGTCTTCATCATAAACTCTACAAAATTATTTGTTTATGCTTCTCTATTTTAATAATTGTTTAATGTTGCTCATTGTCTATTTAAAGGCAGTTTCACCTCTTGTAACATTGACCATAATCAATATACAAGTTTCTCTGTCTAAATTTGTGGCTCTCTCTCTATATCTTGTGTCTAAACAATTTTCACAATGTAGGGAGTTAAGCATTGTGGTTTAGAGGCTACCTTTGCTCTATCTCTCTAAAGGAAGCTTATACTTATAAAATTCACTTTAAACTCTTCTTTATCTCTTCTTAAGCTCTAGATTACTGATTCAAATTCATATTCTCCTTAAGTGAGAAAACTAAATATGTTGTGTCATTTCTTAAGGATTAAATTTATACTAGAGAGTTTCTGCTTCATATAACTAGTTTACTTTCTAGGATTTTTGGTTATATAGTAAATTGTGTATGAAGATTCAATCACAAATTGGTTGTCTCTTGCTTGTAATGGTGAGTTCATGTTATTAGATAGAATTGCTTGTAATGGTGAGTTCATGTTATTAGGTAGAAGGGGATGCAATCACAAATTAACTGAATACTCTCTTGACATGACACAAACACTCATGAATTCCAACAACTTCTACTCTGATATGACTGCAAATCGCTAAATAATAAAACAACATGCAAATAGATATTTAAAAACCATATAATCTCAAATGAACCATCTTATGATAGTCTTACATGAATATAATTAACATTATGTTATAATTTTAAAAAAATAATTAACATGATACCACGAGTCTTAGGTTAAACAACAACCATACTATTCAAATACATCCCCCGTAAACGTTTAAGCTATGATAAAGTTTGTGAAATGCATATCTTTTATTAGATCGGCATTCGTCTTATTTTTTACAGCTTCTGGTTCATGATTAACTGGTATATAATACATGTCGTGGGATTAAATTTTTTTTTTTTTTTTTTACTAAAGGCGTGGGATTAATATTCTCTGTTAACACACACCAGTACTAGGCTATGTTTGGTAAGATGTGGCTGCGTCATCGACGAGTGACTGAAATTAAGCCTTAAGAATGGCAAATTTTTTTTTTTAACAATGGCAATTAAAATGGACATCCCTGTGATTATTTTATCTGGGAGTTGCCATGTTGCTGGTTATTGCTGAAAGAAATATCGATCATCCAATAGTCTCCGTACTTAACTGTACTCAATTGCGGCTGTAGCTGCAATTTAGTTTTTTTTTTGTAAACAAGCTGCAATTTAGTTCACCAATAACTTATGCATCAAGTTACTTGTACTTAGAGGTTATTTTGAATGCTTGTCGCTGACGCAGCTATCTCTCGCCGAACAGGGGCCAGTGGTTTTGTTGGCCAGCGACTGGGCTTGAAAAACGAACCCAATCTGTTTAAACATATCTGCAAACACTGAAATTTGGTGCAAATACAATTATTTAACAGTTTTCAGAAAAGATGAAATACAAAATTTGGTGAAGTTTGGTGCGGCTTTTATTAGTTAAAATCCTCGTGAGTAATTACGGAGAGATGTATCCTCACGTCAAATCTGGTGTCAGATATTTAAAATCCGAGATAACTCTTTTTAATCATTGATCAATCAAAGCTTCAACGATCCATAACCGTGGATGATATGACCAGTCACGTTTGACTCCTAGTCTTACCGTCCGATCTCCTTTTCCCAGTTTAATTAAATTTATCGAAAACAAAACTTTGATGGACAAAACAACTGAATGGTCCATTTGAGACCGTTAAGATAGTAAATGCGAAGGACCAGTGAGAGTTTAAAGCATTTGGAATCGGATGGTTCAGAGAGAATAAGGACCCATGAGTGCCAAATGTACGAGAGCGGCTGGATCGTTTAGCGAAATCACTTCCCTTGTTGTGGAGGAGAAGAAGCTGCACTTACCAAACTCATATGGACCACATTCCTAATTTTCACCAATATTTAAACGATGCCTAATTTTTAACTACGTATATTTCCCTCATCATCTAACAATACTAAAAGCCCTTAATCCTCAAAGGAGAGACATGCCACGTCAATTAAAAAAATCATCCAATCATAGATCTTCAAACAGCCACCTCACACATGCTTTTATTCTACAGAATAAACGGGTTCTCTTCGTCGGCATCGTTTCGTATTCTGCAAATCGTCGTTATCAGATATCACTCTGCATCTACAATACCAGTTCATCTTTTATAGACACCAAACACATTGCATCACTTGGAAACCCTTTTCGTAAAACCCTATATCTCCTTAGCGAAGCTAAGTTCCTCCGTAGCCTCTCTCTCTCTCAGTCACGACAAAGCAAATCAAGATGTTGGGGAGGAACGTTAGGTTAAGAAAAGAATATCTCTACAGGAAGAACTTGGAAGGTGATGAGCGTAAGCTCTATGAGAAGAAGCGCAAGGTAAGAAGCCCTCCAAGGTTCGACTGATTCGGTAACAATCTTTCTATTAAGGTTTCTCTCACTGTTTATTGATTTTGATGCTTTTGTTTATGTGTAAACAGAAGGGAAGCCGATTCCTACAGAGCTTGGTAAGGAGGAGGCGAAACTTGACAAATGACAAGAGATTGATCTAGAAGATCAAAACACTGCCGGTAATAATTCTACTTGTGTCGTGGTCTTCTTTTTCATACATAAGAGGTGTTTTTCCTATGTTGATAAATGATAATATGCATTGGCATTTGCATTACTGGATATCAGAGCTTGCAAAGTGAGGTTGATCTCAAGAAGTCTTTGATAGATGAGTTATGTTCCATGTTTATATTACAATAGACTTTCAAGGCCGTCTTTCTTACCACAAGTTTGTGGCTTCATCCTTTCTCCAATTTGTGAAAACTGCTGTATATTTCTTTTCTCAAAACTTTTCATTTGCAGCTGCAATTACATTTAATTACGTGATGGAAGTTTGGTCAAAGGTATGAAAGTCCTTCACAAAACTGAGCCATGATTATCGTATGATTCTGCATCAGTACATAAATTTGCTCCTGATTCTTGATTTGATTTCAAAGCGAGACATCTCTCATGAATTCTTTTTTTATTGTAGCTCATTGTATATTCACACGATCAGAAGTATGAAGAAGGGAAGAAAATATCTCTCTCCTCTGGCGATACCTCAACTTATAGAAAGAGCACTTTTAAAATGTTTTTCAGTTCAGTGTATGTGATCTTAATTGTTAGTAGCGTCACAAAACCACTCCAAGGTTTAAGTTAATACCATGAAGTAAATAAAAAGCTGGTACGTTTCATATCCAAAATCTTTTATGTTTAAGTTGTTCTGTTGCAATATAATAAAATTAACAATAGTTCTTATTTCCACTCTATACTTTTCTCTACTTTGAAATGAATAAGCTCACCTATTTTAATATCTTGGAAGACATATTACAGGGACTCTGAGGTATAAAATATGTAGTGTAATACTAGGCATGCTATTCTGGAAGAGTGTCGTGAACTTGAGCAAACTCATTTAGGCAAACCATGTTTTAATGATTCCAACAGCGTATGATCCTAAGTTCTTGAATTAATATGTTCCCTTTGATTCAAAAAAGTATCATCGCTTATACTCTAGAAAGTATGCAGGAACAGTAACATCCTCATATTGAGAGGCGCAAAAGAATACTCAGGAACAGAGACAGAGATATAACATTGGGTGGAAGAGGTGAGAAGCTTCAGAGAAAATAGAGACCATGAGACACCATTGGTCGGCTGAGTTATCTTGAGAGGCCCAAGAGATACAAGTGAATGATCAACAAAATCTGGAGGAACAGAAACAAATACATACTGACTAGAGCATCTCAGCATTGGTGGTCATTATACTCCATAGGAACACACATATGAGAAACAAAGTGGTTCAAATAAGAGTCAAAATCGGAGCTGAGGACTAAAAGAAAAGAGGGTGATGGAGTGTAAGCAGGCGCGGCCCATAACATAGGCAAAAGAACCAATTGCTTAGGACCCAAATGTTTTTGATGTTTTTTACCTTAAGAGAAAGGGTCCAAAATATCTTGAATTTTTTTCACCTAAAAGAAAAGGGCCCAAAATTTGTAATTTGTGTGGGGCATTTAATAGATTTGAGCCGACCCTGAGTGTAAAAGGAAACAACATAACAAGACGATAAATGTACTCTTTATGTCGACGGTGAATCGCCGCAGACGGTGCCGGACTTGCATGCTTCCGCTCATGTAAGTAAACATCTCTGTGACTCTGTGTTTGCTCTCTCCTAGGACTGTACACGTCAAGCATTGGTTTGAAACTCACAGAAAATTAAATGATAAATTTTATCTTGAGCTTAGTTGTTTCTGATTGTTTGTGGTCTTATTGATGATATTTGAGTGATTAATGAGTACGATGTACATTGGTCTAAGGAAGGTTCAAGAACAAGAGCTGAACTTTGGCACAGACCGTGGGTTGTCTCAGTGGGGACCAATCTTGGTTGGGATGATGAGCAATCCCAGGAGACGTAGAAGGTTTAGGAGGACAGAGTTTGGTGTTGATAATGATGATGGAAACGACATCAACAATGTCGATAACCATCGTCGTCTTCGCCATAGGGAACATGATGGAGAGATTGAGTTAGACAGGGAGGTTTATTCTATCATCAGGAGGAGCCGGAGAAGCTCAGCTTCGATATTGCAGTTGCTTCAAGGCATTCGTGAAGGGATTAACTCGGATCATGAGAGCTCTGTAATTGGTGATTACTTAGCTGGACCGAAGTAAAACCACTTGCTTCGAAGTCTAACAAGCCGACAAGGGACACTTCCAGTAAGAAAGGAAGCTGTGGAGAATCTTCCAACGGTTAAAGTATGTGAGACATTGCAATGCTAGGTTTGTTTGGATGAGTTCGAGAAAGGGGGTGAAGCTAAAGAGATTCCGTGTAAGCATAAGTTTCATATCCGGTGTATAGTACCGTGGCTTGAGTTTCACGGTTCGTGTCCCATGTGTAGGTATGAGCTACCTCCTGATGATGGGGTAAAGATTGATCTGGTAGGAACGAGAACGAGAAGTTTTGGGATCAACATAAGTAATGAGAATATGGAAGAGGATGTAGGGAATGGGAGCGAGAGAAGGTTCTCACTACCATGGCCGTTGAGTGGATTGTTCTCTTCCTCCTCTTCGTCATCAGGATCAACTTCAGGGTCTTCTCAGCTCAATGAGAACTGAAGTTCAGGATAAAAGAAGAAGAATCACGAACAAAATAATCGCTGCCACTTTCTATATTCGTCAGGTTGAAGTACATAAGATCACTTTTGAGGAATAGAGTAGTTTCTTTGTTTGTGTTATATCATCGAGACCACGGTTTAGCCTTGGAGAGTAAAGCATTATAGGACCATGGTCATTGCGTTTCCCCTGGCGAGATAAGGAGAATCTGCCCAGAATGTTGATTCAATACCAATTCAGACAGCATTTGAGAACGGCAACGACTGTGGCTTACGAGTAAGAGAGATGTGGTTAAGATTCCAATCACGGCGACGACTGTGATCGGAAAGTTCATACCGTCAAGCCAGCATGATGGAAAACAGGCACCGGTGGTGGTGGTGCTGGCGGCGTTGGAAACTTCAGATCCCGGAGGATACTAAGATGAAGTGATACATCCATTAACTATAAGAACAAGCTCATTCTCTAATGGAGAAGGAAAATATAAACTCTGATGAACTTGACAGTTTATTCAAAAGGGTTTGGGAAGAAACGATTGATAGCTGGAGGATGAGAGATATAGGTGAAGGTGAAAATGGAGGAGAGGGAGAAAAAAGAAGAACTGAAGAAGCAAAGATGGAGTAAAATGAGAGTTCGGTGAAGTTTCTGTCTCTTTATATTTATTTTAATCTTTTTCTTGATCGGTGGGACTCGTTTGGTGTAAGAGTTCTCTTTTCTTTACTGATTTATCAGAGTATTTAATATGATCGGTAGAAAAATTGAAAAATTGTTTGTTTATGTACAAGTAGAGGGGAACTTTTTATTTAGGGGGAAAACCTGGCATATATTCACACTAATTCTAATTTATATACATTGTTTACATTATTTAAGAAATGAAACTGTACTCATTGATTATGAATAAAGAAATCAAAGGTAAAAACATAATGGAAATTTTGAAAATGATATCTTTATTTTTAAAAAAATTCATAAAATGATCAACACCAGGAGTTAATTCAAGAAAGTAATTGAAATAACATCAAAATAATATATAATATTAAATTATTAAAGAGTAAATACATGATATATACAACATCAACTTACAACTTATTTTCAAATAATTTTTTCATATATATACTCAAGAATGACTAAAAATATATATATCATAAAAATATATTTAATATTTATGATAAATATTTTCAGTCACACTAATATCTTCATGATACTTTTTTTATAGCAAAATAGTAAACAATATAAATATCATATACACTACTAAAAAAATATCAGATCCTTTAAATAATAACAAAGTAAAGGTAGAATCTAGGTATAAAAATTGGAAATAACAATTCTTTGCAATTAAAGAATAAGGAAATAAAATTGTAAAAATATGAAATAAAACAAAAAATATGCACAGAAAAAAATATTTAGTAAAATAAAATAATAATACATTTTCCATAATAGATAGTGCTCAGTTACACTAAAAAGTCTAAATTTACAATATATACAATTTTATTTACATCTTTAAACCTATTACCTAATTAAAAAGATTCTATAATAAATGACAGCATGAAGATTAGAAAATCTAAATAAAAAATATACGATAAAATATAATATATAATGTTAAAAGTATATTATCATTGATCACTAAAAAATCATGTTCGTAGTAATAAAAATGAAATGACAACACATTTATTAAAACCATAAAACGTCACGCAACAAGGTGCTATTAAATATACAAACTACAAATTAAATATGTCAGCGCAAACACACATAAAAATGAGACAACATATTTGGATATATTTAAATAAACAATTTTAAATATATTATATTTTGATAATTTTAAAATCACTTAAAAACTAAATTATTAGCCAATTAATACAAAACTAAAACAATATTTTATAATGTCAAATAATAAATGACTACAAAATATATTATGTTAATAAAATATATTTTAGATTTTATAGACTTTTAATTCATGTAATATTACAAAATTCACATTTTGATCGATATTCAACTGTCAGTTTTCAATTATTACACATAAAAAGAATTCTTAACTACGCTTTTTTTTTTTGAAAAGGGGATTTTATATTTTAAGTCGGTTATTGGAGTACTCTTTTTCCGTGAAATTATTTGAGATGAGATTCCTATCTTTTATACTAAGATCATTTATGTTCAGTTCATAATTACATTTTTTACATAACTCTAAAATCTCTAACTTGATTCTTCATATTTTAATATTTAATTGTGTTACATATAATAGAAACATATTTGACAATAGTATAAATTTCATAGTATATTGAAGATAATTATATAACTAAATTACCTATTAATACCACTGAATTATATTCAAATACTTACTTCAAACTTAAAATATAAAAAAAAATTCAAATTTAAAAATTAGTTAAATATAATTAAATATTCAAAAATTCAGATACAAATAAAAATGATAAATGTAACAAATTTAAATATATTATCCGCGCGTAGCGCGGAGAAAAGATCTAGTTGGTCTAAATGAAGATTTTTTTACCTTCTGGGCCACTTTATGACTTTCTTATTACAACCCAAGCCACATTGCACTTGTGACACACTTTATTGTGTAGAAAAGACGTTATTACCCTCTAACCAAATAAACTAGTAAATCACGATCAACCTTATTCCAACTCAAACCGTTAACTTTACCAAATCCCAGAAACCTAACCCCGTGAAAAAATCACATCTTCTCTCTTTCGTCTTTAGACTATGAAAATTAAGAAGAAACCAATGTCTTTATTCTTTGTGATTGTTCTAATGGCTAAATCTTTTCATCTGAACCTGTAATTAAAGAGAAACCCTTCCATGGACAATCCTCAGAATTTAGCTTTGTAATTGAGCGTGGAGGCTTAAACCATGACTCGGATCTGTCGTTCAATGGTCGAGTTGAGCTCAACACTTCAGAGACGGCTAATCAGTTCATAGGTCTTTGGTTTCTGAAGACCTTCTCACAATTATACACTCCAAGGAAGCTTTTAGGTTTCTCTCTTTAAGCTTTGTTTAAAATATTATGCTTAGCAATGCTCTTTTCTGAAAACGACAAGATGAATATTTGACACAAACTATATGTTTCTTTCTTACTGAATCACTTGGAACTGATATTTTTATGATGTCTGATTCATGTCCTAAACAACACAATGATGACAATAGTTAATTTTATTTTCATTTAAGGTAAAGAGAAAACCTTTACGAAGAGATGTGTTGTTTTGATTCGGCAGAAGTTACGGTGGAGAGCAACGCCGGACCACCACCACCACCGCTGCAAACTCTAGTCTCCGGGAGCACGAGCAACAACTACTACAGCTACTGCAGTGTTGATGTGGAGTAGCTCCCTGAGTTCCATCTAAGCCCAAAAGATGTGGAGTGATGATCTGTGGATGTCCGTAGTACGTTCAAGGATGGATATCTGCGAGTTAACTAGGGTAGACTTTGAATCATCTCTCAATCTGAGAATGAAAGCTGTGAGTCTTTCTTCTTTATATTTCTCGTTTTGGTTCGGAACTCTGAATGACGATTTATGTTACGGAAGATTTTGATTGTAAACATAATTGGAAACTTCTCAAGATTGTTACTTTTTAAATTGTATACAAAAACAAAGCTTAAAGTTCATGTCTTGCTGATGATTGTTGTGTGAAACGTTTCTCTGATGATGTTATGTAATCGGTAAGCTAATTCTGATGCTTTTGTTACCTATGTGTCTGTGTGATTGACCTTGTTGTTGTGCTTTGACTGGTTTCTATTACATCTTATAGAATCAGTTCTTCTATAAATGATTTGTGTTATTTTCGATCCTTACATGTTTTGTGTGGTTGTAAGGTTTTCTAAGGGCAGCTACTGCAACAGCCAGCTCCATCGGCGCCACATCAGCCTACATCATTCCGTCCAAGGATTCGAGCTAGGCATGGTCAAGCTACTAATCCACATAGCATAATTGAAAGGGTAAAGTGTTCATCTTTATCACAATAACTCCACATGTTAATCTGTTTCAATTATAAGTTTTTGGGATTGTTTTTGTTGTTTAAGAATTGGATTATTGTTGGTAATGATCCAAGCAAAGTGTGTGTTTTTTTACAGTTAATTTTTAGGTTTGTTTTTTAAGAATTGTTGAGGACTCATCAGGTTTGAGGAAGCTTGTGTTCACTAATGGTCATAATATAAATTACCCTGAACACAATTCAGCCGACCACAACTTAACCATCCACAAGGGTAATTTTGACCAATCAATCCATTGGTTCCACCAGAAAGTATCCCACAAGTGGGAAGTGCCTCTCAGTGTAACACAAAGATAAAATGTGCCCTTTTATGTAATCAACTCCTAAATGAAATAGCTATTCACACTACAAATAATTTAAATTAAATCTGACTTCAAAATATAAGAATAATGGTTATTGTACACAAATGAGGCCACCTTATTTATAATTACTTAATTAGTATTATAGTCTTATTTTCACTTAAATGATTTCTTTTTGAATCATATTAGTTTTTTTTTTTTTTACAACGAACGGCTGATCTATTACTCAAGCTTAAGGTGGTTTGAGAATCCAGACCGGAATAGAACAATCAACATACACCAATTCTCGATAGAAAGATCGAGCAGTCTTAGCTAGGAAATCGGAAAAACCGTTATGTGTCCTATGAACATAGAAAAACTTAAAAAGAAAATTCGCAGCGTCATGAGTTTTCCTAGTTCCGTTGAGAAGCTTGGCCAATCCTGTGGATTGCTGAGCATTGTTATCATTTCCTTGCAGTCCGTCCCAAAGCTCTGACATGGTGAATGTTGAAGCATGTTCTCCATTTCCCACCGCAGTGCTTCCAGCTCAGAGTGCCAAGCAGACTCCACTTTATCAAAATTACGCATTCCCATCAACTGACTATTCCCCATATCATCATTCCATACCCATCCACATCCACTGAACTGAGCAGTAGAGGTCCAAGAGCCATCCACCATACAAATAGTCCCCAAACTTATGGCCTGGCTGTCAGCATCCATGTTTCCTTGAGAGGACAAGGAAGTATGTTCATTGGCTTGGAACCAGGCTTGACATTCACTCTCTGCGTATCGGGCTAACTCCAATGGATCTTTATCAATCCCTTTGA